GATTAGGATGTAGATACTATTCTGTTTCCCACAGTCTTCTGTAATTAAAGCAACTATTTCACCTTGCAGATCATTCAACCAAGTGCTTCTCCTTGGGGTATCTGTCATACTTAAATAGGCAACAAATGCTTCATGCATATTCCTCATATTATCAAGTAGAATATTAACATGTGTGTTTTTAGTGAAAATCATTATTGCTTCATCAAGGATATTCTTACCTGCACTTTCTGGAGGTGATGGTGAGTGCACAGCAGTGAAATAGAATACATGAATGCTGGCATAGTTTGGTGTCACTGGTTTGATTCATTCGAGGTGCCAGCAGTTTGGGTCACCATCATTGCTAACATCAGAGGACCTCTTGATATTACTATAAAGACAGTTTTGACATCCTGGGTCTCCCCCCCAAAGAGTCTCAGGGACCCTCAAGAGTTCATGGTCTACGCTTTGAGAAGTGTTGCACAATGAAAGACCTGCAGGATGTCATACCTCATAACTTTCTAGATTAATATTAAAGGTTTTGTAAAAAACAGGGTTGTCCTTGTGGTGTGTGTCACATCAGTGTCCTTCCTGTGACTGTAACACTGGGGAAGATGGGGTGAAAAATGCAAGACTTCTTGAGAGGTGTCTGAGAGCCTCAATCTGTTTCTACTTGTAAAGATTCAAAGTATTCTTACTGCTAAGAGCTTTGACTTTTGCAGCCATCTTTCCAGGAACCTAGGACTATGTAAGTCAGRTTGTGGTATGGGTGGGCTATCCCTTAACCAGAATGTTTGGGTCCAGTGTGTTTCTGATTTTAGTTTTTTAGGTTTTGGAATATGTACAGATACTTTACTGCTTAAGCATCCCTGATCTGAAAATTCAAAAGCTGAAATGTTTTGAGTGTTACAACAAGCCCCAAACATTTCAGATGTTGGAGCATTTCAGATTTTGAATTTTTTGGTTAGAGATGTTCAACGTATCTCTGTTGGTTTGATTCTGTGTTGAAGTGCTTATTTCATGAGAGAGCCAGTTTAGTACTGTTACTTCCCATCAGTGTTGGTAGATGTTTACTTAGCGGAGATTCAAAATCTTTATCTCAAAGCCTTTGTCCTGTTTGACTGATGGTCATTCTTTTTTTTTCACAAACAGAAACATTTGTTTAGTGTCCAATCACTTCTATCAGTGTTCCATATGAGCAGTTTATCTGCAAGCATGGAATTATAACCACTTAATTAAATGACCTAGAAATTATCCAAAGCAAAACTGGATAAACCCAGCCTGTTCCCAGGAAGGTTCTGGTGTCATCATTACTCTCTTGTAAGCATTACAKTTAGGTATTGTGTATTCACATACATAAACTCACATGGACACATTTGTGTTTCTCAAAGAAAAAAGACCATTTTATATAACCTCATATGCAAGCCTCAGTTCTCACTCCATTGTCATTTGCTCCTTTTCTTGGAATGTTTCTTGTTGTTTTCATGTAATTCCTCCTTCAGAATTTCTCATATTCTTGCAGGGAATATGCTTAGTAACTAAGGATTCAAGAGCCTGAGTTCAGAGACTGCCACCTACATTCGATTTTATTGGAGTTGAAATCAAGGATACAGTCAGATTGTCACTTTAGGAGGATAGAGCAGGCAACATTTGGCAGTTTCAAACTGGAGGAAATTTGACATTCTGGTGAATTTCTTAATCCCCTTAAAGGAACATTCCTTTCAAGCCAGCAAAACCAGTTTGTTCTTCTGTCTGTAGGAGCTCACCAGGGTATGAGAAATCAGTGAAAAGAAGGGCACATTGTCTTATTGCCCTTGAAGTCAGCTTGTCCAGTGCTTTGGGGGAGGTTTCCTTACTTATCTTCTTTCCACACTAAACTCATTTTTTAATAGATAAGTGAATCCTTTTGAATGTTTCACAGTGAAATCTTAGGCCTTTATCTAAAAGTTTGAAAAAGGCATCCACAAATGCAGTGTCACTATAATTTTTCCATTGAACAGAGTGWCTTTATATTGTTTGTAAAGGCAGATCTGGGAGGCCCAGCCACACAACATAGTACTCCCCCCGACCCCCGGACCCCATTRCTTTATTTCATGATGGTTTTTTTCTGCAGGAAGAAAGTCAGGCACTGCTCAGTCCTAGGACCTGGCTGTGTTAAGGACTCCTTTGTAATAGACATACAGCTGCCGGGGATAGTTGTGCATGCCTGTAATTCCAGCAGCTCTGGAGGCTGAGGCAGGAGGATCATGAGTTCAAAGCCAGACTCAGCAACTGAAATGAGGCTCTAAGCAACGTAGTGATACTATATCTCCAACCAGTATAAAAGCACTGGGGATGTGGCTCAGTGGKTAAGCACCCTTGGGTTCAATCCCTCATACCAAAAAAAAAAAAAAAAGCCTATCACCCACTCTATTTGGCAATCCCTAAATGGGAACTCAAGTTATTTCAAAGTCAAGAAAGGTCCTAGGTTCAGAGTTGCCCTCCTAACATTAGCCACACTCATTTAACCACTGAGGAAGGGGTTAAATGTCAGTGTAGCAAGTTTAACCTTGATCTTTGTTTTTGYGTACCACTCTTAGAAAAAAAATGCTTGTGTTCCTGTTAATAATTTAAATGAAGTAGCAATAATACCAATTTGTATGTTCATTTAAAAATATTCAATATCAGTCTATCCAGCTATTTGCAAGTTTAAAACTTGGAATATTACCTTCCACCCACAGGAGTAGGTAGAGTTAAGCAGAATCAGTTCTATGCAATTATAGAACTCCCAAAGAGCCCTCGTGCCTAYGGGTCACATGAAGGCTGTTGAGCTTCTTTGTCAGCAGTGCAGGGGTATTGAGGAAGGGGAGAAAGCAAGCAAAGGTTTATTCCCTAGACTGTCATGAACCATTTGGTTGAGAAAGTCAAAAATGATAGTTGAGTTCCATATTCTCTCAGTGTACAATGGCAGGGGCTGGGTCTGTTTCAGAATTCAGAAATTTTCAAATTTTAGAAGAATAACAAAAGGCATGCACCAATATATTAATATTCCTGGTAGGATCTGGGACAGTACCCCACAATCAAGCATATGAATATTTATATAATGGGAAATATGAATATTCATACAAAGAAGAATAAATTAAAAGTATTGATGTCAGCCCCCATATCAAATTTTGCTGCTAAGTATGTTTGCTTGCTTAAATTTGGCTTTTACCTTTTGGTTTCAAAATTGCAAATAAGAGGCCGTAGACCAATTTGTGTACAGTGTTAGAAATGGGGCAGGACAGGTCCAGTTAAGTCCTAGTGATATTTAATGAAACGATATCCATAAACTGTAGTTTCTAATCTTGTGTCCCTCCTTCCTGGGTTCTTTCCTTTCTCTTCCATTCTCTGACCTTTACTTTGCTTATCTATCAGATGCATAAGATCTGCATTGTGGACTGTTGTGAGGATAGGAAGATCATTATGTCTGATACTGTACATGGTGTTTGGCATATAGGAGGTATTCAATGAACACTAGTTTGTGAAAATTTCACCTTGCCAGGCAGAGTGCCAGGTAATCCCAGCTATGTAGAAGACTGAGGCAGGATTGCTTGAGTTCAGATGTTTGGAGCTAACCTGAGCAWTACAGTAAAGCCCTGTCTCTTAAAAAAAATGTTTTTTAAATTTCACCTCTTCCATTCTCCCTTTGCATTTATTAGATTAAAAATTTATTAAAGAAGTGGCTTCAKTGCCATTCTGGAAATAAGATTAAGGGCTAAAAATTGTCCTAATGCCACTAGAGAATTAAAAGTCTAAATTTCTTTATTGCAGACTAATTTCTTGTTAAATGTCCAGTTTTCTCCTAAAATTTTGTTTGCAGATTGACTAAACTTTTTTTTTTTTGATATGGATATTACTGGCAATTGAACCTAGGACCTCAAGCATGCTAGGCAAGTGAGCTATACCTCAGCCCTTTTTAAAAGTTTCTTTTGATGGACTGGGGATATAGCGTAGTTGGTAGAGTGCTTGCCTTGCATTCACAAAGCCCTGGATTCAATCCCCAATACCACCAAAAAAAAAAAAAAAAAAAAAAAATCCAAGTTTCTTTTAAGACATGGTCAGGGTCTCACCAAGTTGCTAATGCTGGCCTCCAATTTGTGATTCTCCTGCTTCGGCCTCCCAAGTAGCTAGGATTACAGGTATGTGGCACCATGCCCAACATAACTAGACTTTTCATTGATGAATAATTATTTTGATTAGTGTTACATCATATTTAAATCCATCAAGTGCTTCATTTTAATTGTATTTGAATTAGRAATGTTTGCCAACAGTTGATTTGCATTATGAAGCCCCTTTTTAAGTTTCGCTCCAGATACTCAACTTTTAGAAAAATATTTGGAAAAGAAGTTTCCCTAAGTACATTGTTGATAATGGTAGTGTTCAGACAGTTATAACCAAGGTTTATAATTTAATATATTGGACAAGTGGTCTTGAGTGATAAATCTTTAATTTTACAAAAACAAATAAAAAACAAGGGTATTAGTGGACTTTTAAGTGCAAAACAATGTATATATATTTTAAATACATATATATAACAAATATATATATATATATATATATATATATATATATATTAAAGTGTTTTATTAAGTGGATCTCTGTTTTTAAATTCATAAAGGCTTCACTTTTTAAAAGGGAATAATCATTATAAAAGAATTGCCCTTTGTTGTCAAACCATTTTGTAAAGCCTCATTTTGTATTTTATAATCTGTGAAAAGAAATACTCTCAAATACCAACATCTGGTCTAATGATTTGTAATCCTGAATGCAGGACATTTGAATTTATTTTTCTGACCTTTTTCTCTTAATTCATGAGGATTATAGGTATTTGTTCCACTTCCACTATAGTTTTGGATCAGAAACAGAAGAATTAAAACAGAAGGATTTCAAGAGAAGAGAGATGTTGGCTATTTGCTGGGCTTATACCCCCAGGACTTTCAGCATTTAAGTGGGACACCACATACCTGCCTATATCCCTATGCATTGTGTTGCTGTCTCCACAGCTGAACTATCAGCAGAAAGTGGGCATCATGTACTGCAAAGCAGGACAGAGCACRGAAGAGGAGATGTACAACAATGAGGCAGCTGGCCCAGCCTTTGAGGAATTCCTTCAGCTGTTGGGAGAACGAGTTCGGCTAAAAGGATTTGAGAAGTACCGAGCACAGCTTGACACCAAAAGTAAGAAATACTTTTCACCTCCCACTAAGCTTGTTTTCCCCCTACTGTGCTGATGTGCATCTGCCAAACTATCCATAAAACAACTTTGCCATCTATTGCAGAAAATTACTTGTGATGGGGGAGAGAAAGTTAGAGAGGTAGAATGTAGCACCAGAGCAATTGAAGAACATAACCAAAATAGTCAGGATTGAGGCTGGGATATAGCTCAGTTGGTAAAGTGCTTGCCTACCATGCACAAAGCTCAGGGTTCATTCTCTAGCATCATACACACACACACACACACACACACACAGAGCTAGGATTGGACTACAAGAAAATAATGTCATCAGAGGTATGGAGGGAATAAAGCAGCAAACACAGATCACACAGAATCACTCCAGGATAGAACTGCACAAGTTTTATTACATGTAGCTGAATATTGGGTGATTAAAAAYCATAAGAGCTCACAGCCATCTGATTGCAAGCCCTAGAATTTTTTACTTCATTAATTTGTTTTCATAATTCTCATGCTTATCCATGTAGTCTTTGTTTACTCTACTTGCTTATTTTTGTATTCTTTGAATACCTAGATGGGTTTTTGTTRTTTATTATTATTGTCCATAGTCTATCTTAACTCAAAGGAAATAAGTTTTTTAGCTTTGGTATTAGTCTGGCTCATAAAGTGTGTTGATTAAAAGCACAATAATGAAGTGTCTGTTTAATTACAGTGCATGAACCCATAGTGTTGTCCACTCCCATTCCCCTAGTGTCAATAAAATAGTTTAAGTTCTCAAATATCTATTTTGGTAAGGATATGTTGGCTTCTGCTGCATGTCTACATGGAGGCAGTTTAAATTTTATCTGTAAATTCATCCATAGACACCTGTGACCTGTTTTTCTTTGAGAAGGTCTTTGGATTAGCACTTCTGTATTTCAGTCTATAGTAATCTCCCTTATTTTCTGTACAGGAAATTAAATAAGGAGTTGAGTCATGAAAACAGAAAAGCATTCATAAACTCTACTGCAGGAAGAATTTCCTGTTGCCATGGTTTTGCTGTTGCCAACTTGGAAACAACATGCAAGAGAGACTATTAAAACCCACAAATAGCCTAGCCTCTTAAATAATTTTAATGTTCTATACTGTGCTTTCAACTGCATAAAAAGTTAAATCTCTGTTAGCCTTTTTATCCAAAATATTTTGGTATTCACCYCATTGTCTTAATTTGTTATGTTATATAAATCATCATCATCATAAAGAACTATTGAAAGGATCTGAGAAAAAAAATGTATGAGTATCCTGGTTTTGCAAATGAGTAGTCAGATTAGGAGCTGATAAGWATGTGTTGAAAAGAATATATTATTTGTATACTTATACCTTCCCAATCACCTCTTCATGATGAAGGYAATGTGAGAGATGTATGACTGAAATATAGTTAAGCAGTCTGGCTTCTGATAAGGCAATGCAATAAGTAAAATAGGCACTTTGTGYAAATTTTGCCCTAATATCCCAGTAGCTTTGAAGGTTAGAAAGAGATGAATCTCAACTGGCAAACTGCCTCTAACTCTACAGTTTTAGAATTATGTAAATGCACTCTGCCAGGAAGTGTTTCCTTTTCTCCCCTTTCAGAATGTGTATTAGTGTACTTTTCTTCTTAGCAAAATACCTGAGGCTGGATAATTTGTAAGGATATGAGATTTATKTAGCTCACAGTTCTGGAGCTCACAGTTAGCATTGGGCCCGCTTCTGCCTGGCTCAGTGAGGGCCTCAATGGTGTGGTGAAAGCACATGTGGAAGAGGCCACATGTTAAGAAAGGAAGGCAGAGAGCTGGGAAGGGTCAGTCTTGCTCCTTTTATAACAACCCATTTTTATGGAAACTCACCCTGCAAGACCAGCGCTAATCCCTTCCAAGAATAATGCTCAGAGTGAAGAAGTTACCCCTTTCCACTATGTCTTGCCTTTTTAAAGGTTCCACCATTGCTTTTTTTAATACTAGATATTGAACCCAGGGGCACTTAACTACTGAGTCACATCCCTATCCATTTTTGTTTTTTTACTTAAGGCCTCACTTAGTTGCTGAAGCTTTCCTCGAACTTGTGATCTTCCTGTCTCAGCCTCTAGAGCCAATAGGATTATAGGCATGCACCTCCATACCCAGCTTGACCACCTTTTAATACTACTACATTGGAGACTAAACCTGTAGCACATGAGCCCTTGGGGGGGGGGGGGTCACACTTAAACCTATCCAAACCATAGTAGGGTATAGTTTCCCGAAACAAATGAAACTAAGGATGTATTTTTACTTGAAAGCCCGCGATAAGGCAATAATATAAAATTCTCTTTTGTATCCCTGAGCTAATAGGCAAAACCCAGAGAAGTCCAGTAGTCTCATTCTTTAAACCTCTATTAAATAAGAATAGACCACTAAGGGGTTGGGGATATAGCTCGGTGGTAGAGCACTTGCCTAGCATATGTGAGACCTTGGTTCAGTTCCCAGCACCAAAGATGCACAAAAWGGAATAGGCCACCAAAATTGTCAAGAGCCAGCCTCTATACATGCAACGGCCTCTCACTGGCTCTGATACAGTAGCAATAAGCCTGCTCTTGGGCGGGGATTGTAGCTCAGTGGTAGGGCGCTTGCCTTGTAAGCGTGAGGCACTGGGTTCAATCCTCAGCATCACATAAAAATAAATAAATAAATAAATAAAAATAAAGATATTGTATCGATCTAAAACTTTAAAAATTTTTTTAAAAAAGACTGCTCTGTGTTCAGTCATAATCTCATCACATTTTGTCTAACTTTATTATGTGGTATGTAATCCTCACAAAGAAAAAGTACTTTCTGGAACAAATCCTCCAAAAGAATCATTCTCACTGTAGATCTCACTTGAATCCTTGGATGTGTAGTTCATTACATTAAAGTATTATTTGCTATTATTTATTCCTTTTTTTTTTTCTGTTTTACCTCCTTCTGAGTCTCCAGTTACAAATATATTTTGTCACTCTCTAGTGTATGTACCATAGGGTGATGTGGCTCTGCTTATTTTTTTCCCCAGCCTTTGTTTTTTCTGTGCTTCAGTTTGGATAATTCCTACTAATATGTCTTCAAGCTTCTTATGTCCCCCCCCCACTGTGTCGTAATTCATTGTTAATTTAATCCAATTTCTGTTAAGGTATCATAACCATTAGAGCCAGAAGTTGCATTTGGTAAATTTTTTTCCTACCTTCTATTCTCTCCTCATTAAGATCTTATCCAAAACCTTGAATATTTTATAATAGTTGTTTTAAAGTCTTCATTTGCTAATTTTATCATCTTTGTTATTTTGAGCTTCCTTCTTTTAGTGAATTTTCCCCTACTTTGGATTACATTTCACTACTTCATTTGTCTGGTWWTTTYYTYTWAWWWTTTTWRKT